TCAAGACTCTTGAAATCAACACATGTTCTAACTCGTCCGTCTCTTCTAACGACACGAGCCAAACGCAAATTGTCTTCGTTAATACACCATTTTCTTACCAATGCGGCGATTCTTCGATGCAAGATGCCTTCAGCACTTCGAGGATTTTCTCTTGGGACAAGACTACTCACTTGATTAGATGAGGCGACGCTTTCTCCATCACTTTCTTCTTCATCTCTTACTCTCGTGTGCACGATCGTTCGCGTTTTCTCCTTCAAGACATTACCACTTGAGACAATCAATGTGGTTTGTCTCTTCATTCGTGACGGAATCGAGCTTCGAATCTTGGGGAACTTTCTTTCTATGTTCCCGTTTCTAACCATCATTTGAATACCAAGTCTTTGATGACTAGTTCTTTTGGACTTTAACTCTTGAATGGGTCCAAGCCTTTCAAATACCGATCTTCTTCCTCCATGCTTCAATTTGGTGCTACAAATCCAAGACCAACTCTAGTTTTCGAAACTCCAGCATCCTTGTTTTGAGTTTTTGCTGCTTGGGGAAGAAGTGTTCCCAAAGTACTCACTTCTTTTGGATCATATCCAGATTTGACAAGAAGTTTATAAGCTTTGGGGTCATAATGCTTAGAGTTTTGGAGCTTCTCTCCGTGTTCCGTCTTGGATCCTTCAACCGGACGAACAAACTTTCCCGGGGGTTGCGTGGTTGGTTTCTTGGTGTCGAGGTTAGGTAGCGGCAACACTAATCCATCCAGAGGGTCCTTCCTAGCGAGATTCTTGGCNTTGTAAGCTTTTGGGTCATAATGCTTAGAATTTTGGAGCTCTTCTCCGTGTTCCGTCTTAGCTCCATCAACCGGACGAACAAACTTTCTCGGGGGTTGCGTGGTTGGTTTCTTGGTGTCGAGGTTAGGTAGCGGCAACACTAATCCATCCAGAGGGTCCTTCCTAGCGAGATTTTTGGCTTTCTTCTCTTTGGCATCATTTTGTTGTGTAATGAGAACTTCTTTGCCAACAGTCTTAACGTCTTCAAAATAGTACTTAGCATCGGCGAAATAAGACTCAATTTCAGTAAAAGGCTTATCGTCTCCAAGCACTTTTCTCACTACACCATCCTGGCAGTATTTGAAACATTGATGCCAAGTAGAAGGCACCACTCCATACTCATGCAACCAAGGACGCCCCAACAGCATATTATAAGAGGTTTTGGCATCTATCACATGGAAAAGAGCATTTGAAGTCATCTCCCCGATCACTAACTTCAATCTAATTATACCTAGAGCTCGTTGCCCCCCTTGGTTAAAGCCTTGAATCATCAAACGGCTATTTGAGAGCTCATCTATCGGGACCTCCAGCTCTTTTAGAGTGCGCAGAGATAAAATGTTCACAGCAGAACCTCCATCTATCAATATGCGATTCACCTTTTTCTCATGGGTGTAACCAGTTACGAATAAAGGCCTATTATGTGGTTTTGAGCCCAACATCAAGTCTTCATCCGTGAAGGTGACTGCCGCATCATTGTCTTCATGATCACATCGTTCTTTGTCATCAGTTGACTCATCATCACTTGGGACATCATCTTGCTCACTTGTCACATAACATGAGAAACTTTCATATCCTTCATCGCAGTTCACTATTGAAGCAAAGTTCGCAGTGCCTTTGTCTTCTTCAAGCGATATCTTGCCTTGTCGTGCCAACTGCATAACTCTATCTTTGAAGACGAAACAATCTTCGATGGGATGACTCACCAAACGATGATACTTGCAGTATTTTGGGTTGTCAACTTGTCCCGCTTCTTCAGGTCGTTTCATCTCCGGCAGTTCGATAAGTTGTTCCCGAATCAAGTCGTCGAAAATTCCAGAAACATCGGAGTCAAGAAAAGGATATTGTTTGGCTTGCATCTCCTTCAAGGTTAATTTTCTTTGCCCCTTGTCTTGAGGGACTTCTTTCTTTTCCACAACTTTTTCACTTGTGTTTCCCTTGAGTTTGATGGGTCTTGCATTGACCGCCATTGCTTCCTTCACCTCTTTGTTAGGCGCTTTAGAGGAAAACTTGCCCCCTTTCTTGGCTTCATTTCGGTCCTTGAATCTTTGAGGCTCATGGACAGGTGGATTTTTTACTCCGCTTGCAGACATGCTTAACTCCATATCATGTGCGCGAGTGGCCAACTCTTCAAAAGACTTTGGTTGAATTCCTTGCAGAATGTATCGGAGACCCCAATGCATCCCTTGAGTACACATTTCAATAGCAGAAGCTTCAGACAATCGATCCTTGCAATTGAGGCTTAGATTTCTCCAACGGTTGATGTAGTCAATAACAGGCTCTTCATCCCACTGCTTTGTAGAAGTGAGCTCAATCATGCTGACCGTCCTTCGTGTGCTATAGAAGCGATTGAGAAACTCTTGCTCTAGTTGCTCCCAGCTATCAATAGAATTTGCCTCCAAGTCGGTGTACCACTCGAATGCATTTCCCTTCAATGATCGCACAAACTGCTTCACCAGACGATCTCCATATGTTCCAGCATCATTGCAAGTCTCAATGAAGTGAGCTATGTGCTGCTTCGGGCTTCCTTTACCATCGAACTGTTGGAATTTCGGCGGTTGATATCCAGTAGGCATCTTCAAGCTATCAATCCTTTGAGTGTATGGCTTCGAATAAGTTAAAGACGACTTGGAGCCTACATCGAATTTGTCCTTGATGGTTCCCATGATGAACTCTTTGAGTTGGTCAGTTGGTATGACTCCACTTGCAGAAACATGGATTTCTGACGTAGTCTTCTCTTTTTCAGTTTGCTTCACCTCATCTTCTTTAGAAGTTTCTTCATCTTCATGTGTTTCATCTTGCTTGCCCCCAGCACGGCTAGTCTCAGCTTTGTCGACCTTTTCTACCAGCTTTAAGATCATGGAGTCTTGATCTTGGACATGCTTCATCAATGCCTCCATTGTTTTTGCCATGGTTGCAAGTTGCTCTTCAATGGTTGATGCGTTCGTCATCATAACAAGTGCCTCCATTGAGAAAGGTGTTGATGAAACATCGTCTCTTAAATCTTCTTCTTGGTTCAAAGGTGGCATGATTTCCTCAACTTGGCGAGAATTTTCTTCCAGAGATACACTCTTGTTTTTTGCCATGCTTCTTGTTGTGACACCAACACTTCCGCTTGCAGAACTTGAAGAAGTTGACTTGGGAGGAGCCATTGTTGCACTTAGATATCTTGAAGAAAAGAGATGAGAGGTAGAGATTGTCCCACCGGGCGTGCCAGAAATTTGTAACGCAAAATTCGTTTTATTGAATTAATAAACACGAGAACTTCGTACAAATGGATTTCAATGGATCAAATGAAATATAGTGGATTCTAAATCTCTATTATTCCTCTGATTAATTTCTTCAAGAACAATCTTCAAATGGATTTGAGACTTTTGGAGATGAATCTTCAATTTGATCTCCGCCGGTCTTGAATATGAGTTTAAATAACGTTTCTTCGAGGGCTTGACAGCTTGATCTCGAATCGAACGTTGTGATTTTCCAAGAATGTGAAGAACACGAGTCCTTGGTCTTCGCCGCAAAGTTGATTTTGATCTTCTCTACGCCGGTCTTGACTTTAATAACGCAATTCGGAGGCTTGGCAGCTTATTTCCGGATTGAACGTCGGTTTTGAGCTTGAATGCGCTTGAATCTTCCTTCGAATCTTCAAGAACGCCTTTGGATCTTCAAGAACACTTGAATCTCGTGGAGAGAATTCTCTAGAGCTCTTGAACTTGGAACTTGAAATATGAATATGAATTGTGTCTTTTTCACCTTAGGGAGGGTCCCTATTTATAGGTGTTAGGAGAGAGAGTCTTGGAAAAGAAGACTTCATTTTGATTGGTCCATAATTTCCAATATTTATTTATTAAAGAGATAATTAGAAGATGGACTCTTGGAAAAGAAGACTTCAATTTGATTGGTCCATAATTTCCACTTATTTATCTCTTTAATAATTATTTAAAGAAATAATTATTTATTTTACTCTCCAAGAAAATGACATGTGGCATTCTTTAATTGGCCTTCAAAATATACATGTGGCATTCTTTAATTGGCCAACAATATATATTAAATAATCAATTAATTAACTATTTAATTTAGGAATTAAAATTTGATTAATTTCCCAAATAAAATAGAAAATTATTAAATTGATTTTAACATGGAATTTGACACTTGTCGCCATTTTATTGGCTCAAAATTTGATCGTCTACAATAAGTATTTGGAGGAGATAAGAATAAGAATCCTATTTGGAGTTGGAGTCCTATTTATTTTGTAATATAATTGTATTAATTGTATTAATTTTTATCCGAACCAAAAGCCGAAGCATGTAATGTTGTCAAGTAAGCTTCCGAAGCGTGCGAGCCAGCCATTTAGGCTCAGCACGTTTTCAAAATTATATCTCAGCACGTTCTCAAATTATATTATAGCCATTTAGGCTCAGCACGTTTTCAAATTATATCTCAGCACGTTCTCAAATTATATNGTTTCTCCAAATCCAACGGCTTACATCGCCTTTTCCACCCCCGTCACGGAACGAGCACGGACAAGGCGACGATTCTAGAACCGTACACGTGTCCCCACCCAACACTCATTCAGTTCACCATTAAAACCCCCGCCCTTCTCTTATCTTCTTCACCAAAACCTTACCTCAAAAAACGCCACTCTCCCCATCTCCGCCCATTTCTAGGGTTTCTCAATTCCTCTAAACTCTATCGAGAGTCCCACCTTTGAATTTCAACCGTTCACTGAAAATGGCGTCGTCTGCGGCTCAAATTCACGCCCTCGGCGCTGCCTCTCAGTTCGCAGCCGCAAATCCCACCAGAAACCACCCAACCAAATCTGTGTTTTTCGGCGCGAGACTCAACAGTACGGCTTCATTCGGTCTGAAGCTGAAAAGCAAGGCCATAAGCCGAGGCAGCTCCCGGAGAAACTCTGGCCTCCGGGTGGTCGCCGAGAAGGTTGTCGGGATCGACCTGGGGACCACAAACTCGGCGGTGGCGGCAATGGAGGGAGGGAAGCCCACTATCGTGACCAACGCTGAGGGACAGCGGACGACGCCGTCCGTGGTTGCTTACACAAAGACGGGCGACAGGTTGGTTGGGCAGATTGCGAAGAGGCAGGCTGTGGTGAATCCAGAGAACACGTTCTTCTCGGTAAAGAGGTTTATCGGGAGGAAGATGTCGGAGGTAGACGAGGAGTCGAAGCAGGTCTCTTATAATGTGGTGAGGGATGAAAATGGAAATGTCAAGCTCGAGTGCCCTGCCATCGGGAAGCAGTTTGCAGCAGAGGAGATATCAGCTCAGGTGTGTGTTCGTCACGTTATTTACAGTATTTTGCTATGAGTATTTTTTTTTTCAGTGGTTTTAGATTGTCTTCTTGTGATTATTGAGGATTTTTTTCTGGAATATGTAAATGCTTATTTTTATTCAATTAGGTCTTAACTCCATTTTTCATAAACTAAATTGATTCTAAACATCGAGGATAATTTTTTTTATTTTTATTCAAATGATTCTAAACTGTTTTATTGTGTGGACTCTTGTATTATACACTGAACCTTCTGAATTTTGTCTGAATTTACCGGGTGAATCTTTCTAGTTGATGTTACTTTTGATTTCTTCTAATTCATTCTAATTCATTCTTGGCAAGTTCCGGTATAAAAGAGAAGACCATTTCATTGAGAAGGCATAGGACTTGGCCTTTTCAAAAAGTTCTTCTTTGTGATAAACTTTTATGGCACTTTCCAGGCTTTCTGCTTCTGTTTCTAAGCAGTTTGCGTCTATTTGTGCACACAATAATATGGTATTTTTACCTTTCAAGTATTTTGCCTTTCTTCTTTAGTAGTATACATTTGCATCTTATTTGCCTTTTGTTCTGAGGATTAGTATTTTCTTGTACCAGAGTGATGTATAGAGGGTTTATTCTTTTGATTTTTACTTATACAATTTTTTTTCTCTCCTGTTTAGGTTTTAAGGAAGCTTGTAGATGATGCATCAAAGTTTTTGAACGACAAGGTCACTAAAGCAGTAGTCACAGTCCCTGCATACTTCAATGATTCCCAGAGGACTGCAACCAAGGATGCAGGTCGTATTGCTGGTCTAGAGGTGCTCCGTATTATTAATGAACCAACTGCTGCATCACTTGCTTACGGTTTCGAAAAGAAGAGCAATGAAACCATTTTGGTTTTTGATCTTGGAGGTGGCACATTTGATGTTTCAGGTCTGAATTTCTCAGTTTTCCTATTCATCTCTATACTCAGGTTTGATATGGTGTTTGCTGAAATATATATATTCTCTATTTTCATATGTGTTCCGCGTAGAAGGGTTTTGTATGCTCTTTTTTTGTCGCTCGACCTTCAGCAATTGATATTTAGTGACCCTTTTTTCCCCGTTCTATCCTATTCAGATGTTAAAAGGGTCTTTGCTGCTAGCCTGTAGCATTCTTTGTGCTTCTTCCATAGGAATCTTGTTACTAAAACCCTGTTGATCATGTTCTTTCCCAACTGCTTACTTATGAATTGTTGTATTGTCAGTGATCCATATGGGCATATTAAGTTCCGGAGTCTTGGTTTTAAGTTGTGCACTACTATAGTACAAATAGTTTGAAGCTGCATATCTGTAATGGTCTTATTTTTTTTCCCCTTTTTTGCTGCCACTGTTTTTAGTTCTTGAGGTTGGTGATGGTGTGTTTGAGGTCTTGTCTACTTCTGGGGACACTCATCTTGGTGGGGATGACTTTGACAAGGTTCGTTTTCCTTGAATGCACTTTCTTGATGGCAATTGATTATTGCATCATTAGTTCACATATTTTCCTCTTCAAACAGAGAATTGTTGATTGGCTTGCTGCTAATTTCAAGAAGGATGAAGGGATAGATCTCTTGAAGGACAAACAAGCGCTTCAACGGTTAACTGAGACTGCTGAGAAAGCTAAGATGGAACTTTCCTCTTTGACTCAAACTAATATCAGGCAAGTTCAGAATTTTCCATCTGTTGGTCTTGCAACATTTTGCCTGTAACTTACTATTATTTTTTGTCTCACCAGTTTGCCTTTCATTACTGCCACTGCGGATGGCCCCAAACACATAGAAACCACTCTCACAAGAGCTAAGTTCGAGGAACTCTGCTCAGATTTGCTTGACAGGTGAGCACGATATTGTCGAGCAAAATACTGAAGCATAATTCGTGACTCATAAAGTTCAACCTCTAATCGACTTAACAATTTTACTTTTTCCAGACTTAAAACACCCGTTCAAAATGCACTGAGGGACGCAAAGCTCTCGATCACCAATATTGATGAGGTCATCCTTGTGGGAGGCTCGACCCGTATTCCAGCTGTTCAGGAACTTGTTAAAAGTATGACTGGAAAGGATCCGAATGTCACTGTCAACCCTGATGAAGTTGTTGCTCTTGGAGCCGCAGTTCAGGTTGTCCATGTTCCTCGTGGATTTTTTTTTGTTTGTGCCCTTATGCGATCAACTTTATGTTGTCTGAGGGCATGCTAGTTTACCAAATAATTTACTCACATTTAATTCATACTCAAAATCTAACTCAACTTTAAAACTCAATCCCGCTATCCTTAATATTTATTCATATAATTAAATAATCACTATTCATCCACTCACATAATTTTAACTACCTATCATTTTCAATCATTTATTTCCTACTTTTACATCAAATCAGTATTAATCATTTTATTTTTAAATATTATTTTAAAACATTCTTAATATCCCACTATCAACTAACCATACCACATTTTTCAAAATTTTTCAAAATTAGCTCTAGTTAACCAAAATAACTCGTTTGAATGGATTATTTGGTAAACAAGCAATGCCCTGAGTTTCTTGCCTGTTTTATTATGTCCTCAGGCAGGTGTTTTGGCTGGAGATGTTAGCGACATTGTCCTTCTTGATGTGACCCCACTATCTTTGGGTCTGGAGACTTTGGGTGGGGTCATGACGAAGATCATTCCCAGAAACACAACTTTGCCCACTTCAAAATCCGAAGTTTTCTCGACTGCTGCAGATGGGCAGACGAGTGTGGAGATAAATGTGCTTCAAGGCGAAAGGGAGTTTGTTAGGGACAACAAGTCCCTCGGTAGCTTCCGTCTTGACGGGATCCCTCCCGCTCCTCGTGGGGTCCCGCAGATTGAGGTCAAATTCGACATTGATGCTAATGGTATCCTATCTGTGACTGCCATTGATAAGGGAACTGGAAAGAAGCAAGATATCACTATTACAGGTGCCAGCACATTACCTAGTGATGAGGTTAGTTTTGCTTTACTGGGCCTTTCATTCTTAAGCACCTCCAATGAATGTGAGACTTGAAGCTCCTCATGGTTTAAATTCATCTCTGAGGTTCAGCTCAATTAAAAAAATAAGGGCATGCTTGTTTACAAATTAATTTACTCACCATTTATTTAATTCATACTCAAAATCTAACTCAATTCCACTATCATCAATATTATTCATATGATTAAAAATTACAAATCAATCATTCGTACACATAGATCATTAATATTTCATTATTCATGAACTACCTATCATTTCCAATCATTTATCTCTTACTTTTTACATCAAATCGATTTTAATTATTTTATTTTAAATATTATTTTAATACATTCTTAATGATAACTACTAACCATACAATATTTTTCAAAGGCTAACCCAAAAAACTCATTTTCAACGGATTACTTGATAAACAAGCGAGCTGTAAGTTATATTTTTATTTAAAAAAAAGTTACTTTATCTGAGTTTTTTATTTTTGTGTTATTTGCATTTGTAAAATAGAAGCACTTCTGCATCATTTGCGCTATTTGCAAGCACCCGAGCCATGATAATCATGTTTGGTTATCAATAATCTCCTCCTATGTTGTTACAGGTAGAGAGAATGGTTAGTGAGGCCGAAAAATTCGCAAAGGAGGACAAGGAAAAGAGGGATGCAATAGACACGAAGAACCAAGCGGACTCAGTAGTGTACCAGACAGAAAAGCAGGTGAAGGAACTCGGGGACAAGGTTCCAGCAGCTGTCAAGGAAAAAGTCGAGGCCAAACTTGCAGAGCTCAAGGATGCCATCTCTGGGGGATCGACACAAGCAATTAAGGATGCCATGACTGCACTTAATCAGGAAGTCATGCAATTGGGCCAGTCACTGTACAATCAGCCTGCTGCTGGCCCAACACCTGGTGGTGGGCCCAGCCCTTCAGAGTCATCGGATAAAGGGCCTGAGGGAGATGTGATTGATGCTGATTTCACGGACACTAAGTGAGGAAATTTAGTGTCTAGTTTGGTCGGTCGTCTGTTTGACCTGACCTTCCATTTTTGTCTCGTGTAAGGAATAATTTTGTTGGATAGATGAACTGGAGAAAGAGGGAAAATTGTTAAGACATTAGGTATTTATGGGTATAAAAAAGGGTAGAGTCTGATATTTGAGTCCAGGATTGTATTGTTGTATGTAAAAAACGTATCTGAGTGATAAGAGAATACAATGGCTGGGCCTGGACTGAGTTTTATTTTAACTGTCTCGGTTGGTCATCTTTTAATAACTAATAGTAAAGTAAAGTGCACGCGGCTCATGTGATACACTATTCATTTTCCTTTTGGGATCTTAAATTATTTGTTTAGTATCTATACAACAAAAAGATCGAGTTAATGTGGTGGGACCATGTTTTCATATGTACAAAGATAATAAAAAGATGGAGTTTCGTGGAATTAGTTCAAATGCCTTTATCCAAGATGAATATAAACCACAATGGCTTCCAAAACAAATCAAATGCGGATCTTTGGAAGTTGAATTTTACCTCAAGTCCTTAAATCCAAATGCAACCTTTTCATTGCATAAACAACCACTATAAAAAATTCTCCCAAGTCCCAACAACCATCTCTTCTCAAGGCAAGTAACCAATCATGGGATTCGCAATCACCTTTGTATTTAACACTCTACAACAGCCGATTGTATTATAGTCATCGATCGCAAGTCAAACTGACTCACATAAAAAGCCTATCCAAGCTTCAATATAAAGGCAGCATACCAAGCAAAATGTAACCTTTTATCAAATGA